TTACATGAATAATTACTAGTGATGCACTTCAGACTCCAGAGAATTTCAGCATCAAGCACATTCCTTTTGACCAGATAAGAAGACAATGTTACCTCGGCCACTAAAGTTTCTGTTTCACATGGGGCACACGATGTTGAAGGAGTATTTACACCAGATGAATTAGATGTTGATGTCTTTGGAAAAAGAGAACTCAGGGCATGAGACTGCTTTTTTGTTTTACCTTTCTTTCATGTGTGATTTCAGAGCAGATTCTTCCATTTTCGCGATATCGATCTCCTTCATGCATAATCGGCACTTGGCTCTGAACTTCTTTTCGGGCATCGATAAAATCCATTCTTTATAAGCTTGATTATCCATCCATTGGGGATTAAAATAGCACTTCCCAGGCATAACTAGTCTAAACTACATAACACAAATACGAAGCCGTGCCTTTGCGAATACGCTTTACAATAAAGTTTTGAAATGATCCAAACGTAAGGACAAGTGCGGATGGTAAAACGGCAAATTTATTGAAAACTACAAGGTACATATTGTTACGAAATTCAAGAGTATTCCAGTTTCGATAAGAAAAAAGAAGATCTAAGCACATGCGACAGAAGATGAAGTGGAGTCTCGCCCCGAACTCACTGATTGTCTGCTGTGCTCCGCACGCTTGGCAGACACCAAGACGCTAGGCCCGGTTAGAAACGGTGGCGTTAAAAACCACGTGAGAGAGCTCGGGAACAAAACAGAAAGAACGAGAAAGATCCGCGGGTGTTTTATAAAAAGGGCCGTCGGCAGTATTGGACAAATTCAAGGACATATCAAGTTTTTCAAGGACCTAAGACGTTTTTCAAGCACTTTCAAGGACCTAAATTTAGCACAAAAAAATTCAAGGACTTTCAAGGACTCTCAAGGACCGTGGGAACCCTGATTTATCATTTAATTAATCCAAAACTGCAAAAGCACTAAAAAATCTTACATGCAACATAAACTACATTAATAAAAATAGTATAGTATATAACCCATTACTATTGTTCCAAGTTTATCACTTAAATAATCATTAACTGTAACAGCAATAAAAAAATCTTACAAGGAACAGAAATTACATTGGAAGTTGTAAAATTATAGAAGTTATCATGAATTTAGAGAAGTTATCACGTCTAGGAGTAAGAAAAACATTATTTTAAAAAAATGCAACTAAATGTTTACAAAATTTAATTTTATTCATGCTTTCATCCATGCAAAAGGCACTATATTTCTTTCTCACTTTTAAAGTTTTTAAATCATACTTATAGACACTGTTAGCACATGTGCATACTTTCAAAATGTGTAAACCAGTTTAGAAAATTTTATAGAGGAAGCTAATTCTATAAAGCTATTTCTCCTGAAAGCTAATTTTAGACAGGCAATGAAAATAAAGATATTTAAAAGCTAATTTATTTATCAAAAGATTTACTATTTGTCGGGTATAAGGGTAAAAATTAGTATTGAACATGATAGAGATGTTCTAGAAAATATTACGTTTTTTATTTTACATTTGCTGAAAAAATGGATCTGCTCCTTGCTTATATAAAAAACATGTAAAATAAAAACAGCAACAATATAGAATAAATAATTAACTATACTAATAAAGCATAGTTTGCAAAAAACCAGCTCACATGTTTATTTATTTTTTTTAGGGGGATTTATAAAAATATTAGATTTTGACCAGAGTTAGGAATTTTTTAAATATATTCTAGATGCATATAACTCTTCTATTAAAAATAAGAAATAATAGCATTTAACTAAAATATAAGTATCTACTTTTATATTAAATATAAGAATATATAGTATATACTAAAATAAATATTGTTTGTTTATTACTAAAGAGATTAGTAACAGAAATGGTTATGAAAATAACTATTCTATAACTAAGTCATTTTTTGCTTTTTAAATGTATTATGAACTGCATAATGATTAAATGATTCTTTGAAATTGTAAACCGTGTATTATGTGATGTTTGAATTTGGAAATTAACACATAATTTGCTTCAAAGTTAAGGAATGAAATACCTAAATGCATTGCAGTATACTTGTGAAATAAAATGCACACATCAATTTGTAACAAATGGTAAGTTCATTTGTATTTTTCAATGTTTGAATTCTTTTTAAATTTTACAATTTACAAAAAACTATCAACTTTTATATTTATTTGATTTTTTTACTTTTGAAATGAATGATAAAAAATAATAAATTTCACACACTGGTTTTCTAAGCATTCCAAGTACATAATTTATGATTTTAATGAACATATAAAAATGCTCATCACATTTAATTAATAATTATGCATGAATGACCGTATCATGAACATCCATTATCTACCATATAAATTTGCATCCCATTAATATATATTCAATATATATTTTAATCTTTCTTTTGTAATTTACAAAATTTTAACCAAATAAAATATTAGCAAACAAGAATAAGATTCAAAAATATCAAACAAAATACATTTTTGGTACTTGTTATAATACAAAATATAAACTTAATCTCAAGTGTCATTACAATTTCTTTGAACAAAAAATTTATAAGAAAGTTTTTATTTCTTTTTATTGAAATATTTAAACATAACAAAATATCTTTTGGCTTTTCAGTCCCCAAACGGTTTTTCTATTTGAATTGATCCAATCAAAAATTAGAAAATATTCTTTACAGTCAAGCTCTCATAAGAGAAGCTGTGAATAATAGAGTAATTAGATTAGATGATTTAGCTTTCAACTGATATTCTAAATTATGCTTTTCTGACAAATTATGGGTTTAATATTTTAAACTTATAAACATAAATTTTTTTGCAAAATGTACAGTAGATTGAAACAAGTACTGTCTGAAGTTGATTTTAACATTATTTGTCTGAAACTATCATATGTCATACTCATTTCGAAATGTTGGATATACATTGATATATTTTAGCAAACCTTGAAAGATTTATGATGCAAATAAATTATATAATAAGTAAAATCTGTATGCATATTAAACATTTGTTTTCTAGTTTTGCTTCGCTTCGTAAGTTAGAAATATGTTTGTTTGTTTTTTAATCATAGGCTTTATTTCTTTTCATGAATATATCCATGTATATTACACTTTATTTGCAAAAATTAGATTACTGAAATACGTTTTACTTCTTATAATTTTGTATAAAATGTTATAAAATTAAATTTATAAATCAAAAAGCTGATAATTTCAAAGAACAATTTGGTTTAATAATTGCAAAAAAAATTGATTAAATATAATAAAATGTGGAGAAAAAAACCACTTAGTTGATATAAAGATGGGTTTTTTTAAGTGGACCCAATCTGAAAAAACCTGATAGGTTTTTTTTTTTCCTTATTGTTGGTTGGGCCTAACCCTGAATAGCAAGCAGAATTTGTTGCCCATATAACTCAAGAACTATTCACAAAATCCTGAAAGTTGGCCAGCTGATACAAGAAGCAATTTCAGCTCTATGTTAAAAAATTTTAATTAACATGTTTGAGAGGGATATATGAAAAACGAATTTTACTAGCATGACTAGCATTACTCTTAGAAGCATACAAATTGCAAAGAATTCCATTTTTCAATTGATTAAGAAATAATATCAATGATATTTGCAAGGGATACAGCTCTGATAGACACAAGTGAATCAATATGAATAACATGTGAGGAAGTTATTTTCAAATTAGTAAATCAACCTGAAATCTTTTGCTATTTTTGTTTAAAATTAAGCTTTAGAAACCTTTTTCTATAGATCCAAATTATGCGAAGTCAGTGATAATTGAAATGAAAAATAAGTACTAAGTTATGTAATAAAGAGCAAATTCATCTGGGAAGTTGCTCAATTGTGATAAATCTTGACTATAATGTGATGGTCATGATCAACAGCATTATTTTCATTGGGGTATGAAACTGAATATAAAGATCCACCCTTTAAAAAAATGTACTTAAAATAATCTTATAATAAATACCAATTTCATTGATAACTTACAATTTTTTTTCAAGAACAGGTACTAAGAATATGAGATAAACTACATAGATCAAAGCATATCATCATAAAATTATAACTAAAAAAATCACTGGAATGTAAAATTACTAGAAATACTTTATGTAAATAACATAAAGTTATAAAATCAAACTCTATAGCAAGCAAAAATCATAACTAGGATTCAATCTCATGATAACTAATAAACACACACCTCATCTGGCAATTTAAAGTTGGCCAAATTCAAGTGTAATAATAAAGTTAACCAAAAAAAGACTAGAATTAAGATTTCCATAATAAAGTGTATAAATTTCATTGAAAATAAAAAATAAGAGCTTTCAAACTGCGTGAAAAAAATTCATGTACATAATTTGAGATGGAAATAACCAATATGTAAATGCCTTAACAAAAATTTATTTAAAACAAAAAATAAGTTTCTTAAAGAAACATTTTTTACACAAAACAATTTTCAAACATAGTTTTAATCAAATTTGCAAGGAAATTTTTTTTTTAAAAAATTGTATTCTTCATAGCATTATGCTTGGAAAAATATATAAAAACGTAATTTGAGATGGATATAACCGATATGTAAATGCCTAAACAAAAATTTATTTAAAACAAAAAATGAGTTTTTTAAAGAAAAAATTTTTACACAAAACAATTTTCAAACATAGTTTTAATCAAATTTGCAAGGTAATTTTTTAAAAAAAAAATAGCATTCTTCATAACATTGTTAAATTTTAAAAAATATTATTCTACTGTTCAGCTTCAATCACAAATATTTAAATAATTATTTTTATCGTAACCCAAATAACAAATTATGGTGCATTTTAAGCTTATATTTGTTGGAAGCCTAAAAGCGGCTACATTATATAACTATCATGTAAAAATACCAATATATACTCTTATCTTACAACTGCATACAAACTGTATTTCACAATCAATAATTTAAAAAAAATTTACAATTTTTCTAAAAACATATCAATTAGAAACATGTAATATTTATATATAATATTTCAACTCACCAGCAGCATGGAATAATGCACTGTCTGCTCTGCATGACTGGTTATATCTTATCTCATAAGTTTCTATGTTATTATAATCTGTTAAAACAAAATAGTACCTCAGTTAAAAAGAAAAGATGGACGAAAGCTAATTATATTATGAAAACATATGGATGGTGATTTCTATAGCAAAGGGTGCTATACCAGTAACTTCCACTTGACTATTGTGTGTTCACTTGTAGATTATTGTCAATTTGTTATAAATTGTTTGAGCTAGCATTTCCTTCAGATGGTGATGCTCTTTTTTTGTTTTGTATTGAAATTTTTAAGTAAGGCTATCAATATTGTAAGCTAAGCAAAAATAAGTTAGTGATGACCTTCAAACCAGAACTTATCAAGCTATGTTTCTAAATTTTTATTTCTGCATACTTCTCTAATGAAATCACGATCCATATATTTTTCCACAATTCATGTTTAAATAATTCATAGGTCTGAAGATATTAACACATTTGTGTCTGCCAATTTATACCAATTTAAATATAAATTACCGTAAATGACCGAAATCAAGACAATTTCGACATTCACAGGTGAATGTCAGCAATCACATAGTTGCTTTGGTGTATGTCCAAAATATTTGCTGTATCAAACTTGATATTAATTTATTCGTTAATATCATTATATTTATTCGATATTTTAATGTCTGCTGAGGATAGATAAGGAGAAACATCAGTATTTGGAGTAGCGATTAAATGCATATTGGGCAGTGGCACTAAACCTTAAAAAAACACTGATGTAGGGCATACCAAGCAAATGTAGATCAGGCAGTGGCACTTAACTAGATCTAGTATATGTTTTGGACATTTGCCATAGCAATGTGATTGTCAACATTCACCGGTGGAAATCAACAACCATCAATTTTGGTCGTTCACCGTAACATAACTATTGTGTGTGGACAAATGTCATCAGATACTTTCGATTATTGGTAGCTCTTTTAATTAATAAATTTGTATTCTTTTTTTTTTTTAGATTGTGACAATAATATCATTTGTACGAGGGGAAAAATCACAATAATCAACGAATTGGTATTGATTAACACTCCGCAATCATACATAAAACTCAAAGACATGTGCATAAGTTACAATAGGCTCTTCTCAAATTCAGAAAATTAAAGCATGAAAAAATTGCTGAGAAAATTCACCACAATCACTTAGCAAAATCGCCAATCTTCATCCATAAAATCCATTCATCAATCCATAAATGCTAGTCATTCATTCATCAACCATCAAATCAATCAGTATGCTACACACCTTTCCAAATGTGAGAAAAAACAGGAAATGGTCCTTTTCCCCATTTTTAAAACACATGAAAAATAAAAGCTTGATTTTATAAAGTATCAGCAAAAAATTTTTTCATTTTGATTTTATAGTGATATTGTACTAACAGATTTGATTTTTTAAACATACTGTATTTTACAATCTTGGCAACCATACTGGTATAGGGCTTATGATCAAACACCCATCTTTTTTTTTTTTTTTTATTTTCTTATAATCTTATAATTTTTAAAATTGCTTTAATTATCTTTAACAAACTCTTCATGCAGAAAATTAATAATATAATAATGTTTACAATTTCAAATATTAATTTACCACATAAAAGAAATAATGTTCGGAGATTTGTAATGACTTACAATAACATTTTAAACTCTGATATCGAGCAAAGATAAATTAAATGAATATAGTACCTCAATAATAATCTCAAACTATTTTAAAAAATATTTTTTCAAATAAACCTTTTTGGTCAATTATACTCCAATTTGAATTTAAAATAAAAGAATAAAATTATTATCTGACTGAAAATTCAATTCCATAAAGTCTAATGAAATATAAATTGAAATTAATTAATTTCACAGAAATAAAGTTTTTTGCCCAACAATACTCATAGTTGCATTAAGAGCACAAATTCAGATATAAATTAGCATAAATATTAACTTTCAGAAATATTAGCATGAAATGTGTATATGATATTATCGAAACAACCATTTTTCCATTTTAGGATGGTTTCTATTTAGGATGGGGGGGGGGGTTCGTGCATGATCCTAAAATATTAACTTATTTACAGGTTTATAATTTGACTAAATGTGAAATTAAAACCTTGCGTAAATTACTTTCATTGCTCCTAATTTTAATCAGTGCTTTTCACCAGATGATTCATAACAGGAAATTCATAAAATATTTGAAGAGTATAGTAGAATGCCGATTATCCAAACGCCGATTTACCAGATTGCCCGATTATCCATATCGTTCAAGAACCATGTGCTTTTACCACCTTCCTCAGAAGAAAAGAAAGTAAAAAGAAAATTTTAAAATTGCTTTATTTTCAGAATATCTGAAAGAGGTCAAAAAATGGTCTCTTTTGTCCTTCAGCAACTTTGAAAAGAACCTTACGTTCCCTCCATTCAATTTCAATGTGGACGGCAAGTAATAAAAAAACAGGTTTCTCATAAATTTTTAAAAAATTAAAACTTTTAAACGTGCTATAATAGGCACTACAATCATTAAATTCTATGCTTAGAAAATGTGTGAAGATAAGTTACTTAAAAACATTTTCTTGATTGTTTTTTAAAGTTGTCCAATTATCTAAATTTCCTGTTATCCTGACCGGCTTTGTCCCTGATTGGTCCAGATAATCGACGCTCCACCATATTTTCATATTCAGCCTGTTAACCGAAGAATAAACTTTTGTTTAACTCCTAACAAAATGGGAACATTTTTCTTGTTAGTTATAACTAATATCATCATACCTCAAATAATTTTCATTATGCACAATGAAAAATATTGTCATGCCCATTGCAGAAGTAATTCATGAAGGACAAAATATTTTGTCACTCCAAATTAATAGGTTAGACAAACCAATATTTATAAAATAATAATGATTTCAAAATGTTTCATACTTTTCAAATATTTAATTACTTGAATGCTTTATTATTCGATAAAATATTTGATACTATCACCAAAAAAAAAGTGAGGAACATGTGTTTAGACAAATATAGAATATAATAAATGTTTCATACTCATCAAATATGTGATGTGTGCCTTGATATTAATTCAAATATTTCATATTAGCATAAAAAAAAACGTGCAGAACCAAGTGTTTAGACACATAAACAATTTTTTGAAATGTTTTAAGCTCATTCATTTGATAAGTACCTTAATATTTAATCAAATATTTGTCATTAGTATAAAAAAAGGTAAGAACATGGGTTAAGACAAATAATTAATAAGATAATAATAATGATTTCAAGATGTTTAATACACATGAAATATTTGATGAGTATATTGATATATGACAGTAGCACAAAAAATGTGAGTAACATGACATGTGTTTAGACAAATAAATAAATAATGATTTCAAGTGATATCATTAATGAGTATTTTAATATTTCATCAAATATTTAAAATTAGCACACAAAAAAGAGGAACATGTGTTTAATATAATAATTTTATTATATAACAATGATTTATTATATAATAATTATTAATATTATATTACATAATGATTGCTTATATTATATATAATAATAATTTCAAGATATTCAAAATATCCATTGCCAAAATAAACTCCTATAATTAATAACAGCTGGTGCCTTTTAACCGACAGAGCATTACCATAAGACATTCAGTGTGGTATTGACCGGATTAGATCTGCTTGTAATGTTGTATCAGTTAAAATTACTTGATAAGCAAAAATTTACAAACCTGAGAGTGAACAATAAGCCAAATATAGCAATGCAAATGAAAATAACAGTACAGTGGCTTTTTGAATAAGTCGTAGAAGCCTGGCCATATCTTTTATGGATAGTAGACATGGAATAGTCCTACAAAACAAAATAATATTACATGACAGATCTGAATCATAGTTCATCTTAAGTAAAATTCTTAGGTTGAAATAACTCATGAAAACTTAAATTAGCAAAACAAAACATATCTGTAATTGAAAAAAATATTTCAAATGAATATAACACAGTAGCTAGCAAAATACAAGTTTGGAGCGTAACCACATTAAAAAAAACAAGATCTTAATAATACAAGTCAATTTTACTATTGTTTATTAGAACCTTTATTGGTGTTTACAAAAAAAGATTTAAAAGAGCAGCAAAATTTTTAATTTACAAAAATAATAACAATTTGATAGTTATGCTATAAATAATTTTTTATGAAAAATTTCATATTTAGAAAGAAAAAAACATTGTAAATATATTTTCAAATTTTAAACAACTTAGAATTTGCATATTAGAACCTTGATCATTCTATATTTTAGGTGAATATTTTATGAAATTTTTTAAACTCACATTAAAAAAGTAATATAGATGAAATCATACTGTTTCACAGAAATTTAGATAGAGCAAAAATTATTCACAGAAATTGATTGTCCATAAGAGTTTTCAGAAAATGAGGGAGAGAATTTCTGTATCGTGAGCTGCGGCAGAACCGCCAAATCTTGGCAACTTCCAGGCAGCGGCCTATGAGAAATTTTTTAAAAAAACATTGCAGAAAGGGTCCAACTCGAAAAATATAACACGTAGCCACCCCTGGGCAAACATCTACATGTTGTGCTTTTTTTAAAAGAATTAAATTTAAAATCTACTTGGCACCTTGACAATTGTAGTTGGTGCAACAGATAACGATACAGAAATATCTCTAATGAGGAAATAATATAGCAATCCTAAAACCCTTGAAAGTATCTCAAAAATATAAAATAAGGAACAAATATTAGAGCCTATAAAGAGCCCACATACTTCTACCTCGAAATCGGTAAAAGCACGCCTTACCTACCTGTATTTTTTAATAATACGGTGCAAAATATAAAAAGAAAAACAATATCACTTACCACACCTGGCTGAATTTGATTATAAATCCTTCTTATTTTGAATTAATTTTGAAGTAATAATGAAGGAAAAATATCAATAACTCAATTGATTAACAACCACAGAAATATTCAGACATTTATTTTAATGGTCTGAAAGTGTGTTGAATTGTTTGATTCAAAAACCAGTTAGAACACGTTACTCAAAATGTTATCAAATATTACAAAAAGTGAACATCTAAATTTTTTACTGAATGTTGGTTCTTTTTGGTTAGCCACATGAACGGAAATGAAACTTACTTTTAATTTTGTTATTTTATTTTATTTTTTTGTTAATGTGCTTTTTGTTCAATGTTAAAAAAAATAGTAAAAAATAAAATTAGAAGATAATTTACAGTTTTTTACTATAAAAACTAAATTATCCATTACAATACAATTCTTTATTTTATTTTTAATGTAAAGTCTCTTTAGAATATATAGGTATGCATTGCATGAACTAAAAGAACATTTATAGCATTTGGTACTTATAGTACATAACAGAGTTGAAAAAATGAAAGTCCATATTTCATTTAAAAAATATACAAGAAAATGAAATCTTTAACTATACAACTAGACTATTTAGTTTTAGATAGTCAAAGCTATGATAAGATCAACTATTTTTAATTAACATTTTAATAAATACATCTTGAAAGACATGATGACAATTTGTATAAGTTTAATTAATAAGCATATTTATTTTGTATCATAGTTTATAGCTAATAGTTTTTGAAATTTTATTTTTTATTTATTTTCATAATCAAATAATAATTAAAATTTATTTAGATTTAAAATGTTCATAAAGTTAATGAGTTATGAATTTATTTGATAGCACTTAGAAAGCATATAAACGGAAGTTACAGCGAATTTTAAAAAGCAATTTCTGAAAACATTCCTAACAGATAGTTGTTAACTTCATATAAAACTCTAGAATTGTGACTGTTTTTAAAAATAGTAGGTACTAAACACATCATACTTTTCAATTTCGATTTGTAAAATTTTTGTAACGAAACAAAAACAAACAAAAAAACATAACAAAATTTTTGCATGCAAAATAATTAAGGGGAAAAAAAACATATTTGATAATTACGATCAAAATTAAAATACGAAAAAGGGTAAATAAATTTATATAATTGAAATACACAAAATTATATGCAAGCAATTTTCGAAATTAACTCAAATACATAAAAACTGTCAAAGATCAATAACTAGGTAATTTTAAAAAAATGAACATCGAAAGAAAAACATTACTCGAGCACATTATGTTATACAATTTTCAAAACGGTTAACCACATTTTGTTCATTACTGCCTTGAAAAAAAAGTTCTTCACCATTCAGAAATGTTTTATTTATGCTTCATGTTGATCTTGAAGGAAGCATTTCATACAAGATATAAGACAAATATCTTTGTAGGGCTAGTTTGAAAAACACTTAAGAATAGCATTATGAAGATAAACAAGCAAATTTCATATTTGTTGCCATGACTACCGCGTGAAGAGTGAAATTTCATTGGCTAATAACTCGCGCCAGGAAACACGCTAAGGAATGAAAAAGCGGATGTGACGTTTGATTATCTACTGTCTGGTCTTTACTGTCTTTTGTCAACCAGTTCATTCATCTAAATTTTCAATCAAAATCAATTGTCAGCTATTACCTTGAGCAACAAGGTCAACAATTGAAAAGAGGAGAATCTAAAATCATGTCAATTTTTTATATATTACTCGATTCAGAATTTTTAAGAAATAGGAATAGTAAAATATGAAATCCAATGAAAATAAATTGATTAAGGACGTAGGTGACGAAGGGGATTCCCCATTGTATTTTAATATTTTCTTAAACTACCAGTTTTTTTTTTTTTTTTTTTTTTAAGTCAAAAAAAATTTCTGAGTCATTTATTGCTTTTATTAGATAAAGAACAACACTTAAAAAATCATTTTATAATATCGATATGAGCTTCATCCTTTTTGGAAAATATAAAATATTTGTTCTTCCTTCAAAAGGAAGCAATACTTTGGATGATACCCTGTACCTGTCGTTTACTTACAAAGTTAGCCGATTCTTTTTCACGACAGAAAAAATTTTCACAGCTTCAAATTACCCTTCTTTGTCTATCTTTATTTTGATAGCCATGGAGAATTATTTTTAAGGTACAATGTGACATATCTATAGAATGTAGGAGAAGATAGCTAGTTTGTTTGAATCTGGTTATAAATGCTTCACAAGGAAAATTTTTAGGGGCGCCTTTTTAGGATTGAAATAAGATGTAACCAGTGGATGGAGGGTGCTCCTAACATTACTTAGGAGTAAATACATTTTTATTTTAATGTAATGGACTATTTCTTATTCTACGAATATTATTGTATTTACCTTTTATTTACATTTTTATTAATAATTTCTTTCCTATCTTTGAATCGTGAAACTTTGTTGTGAAAATTATTTATTTAATTAATTTTAAAGGAGTTTTTTAATCAGTTAGAAAAATACTCTCGAAGAATTATATTTATTTGGAGGTAAGCTTATATTTAATTCGATCATATATGATGTATTTATAGACTAATGCTGGATTAGATTTAAAGTTGCAATATATTTCATAAATTAGCTCTCTCTATGGTTTTTGTAATCATCATTTAGTAATATTTATTGTAAAATAACTGTTATAAAAAATAAAAAGATACTAAATTTTACAAAAGTAGTAACTTTAAACATATAACTGTTAATTAAAATGTTAAAAAAATTTTATTCGATCAACAAAGTAATAAATTTATAATAATTAAATAAAGTTGAAGGTTAACAACGTAGTTGTAGTTTTTGTAATTTATTTACTAAAGCTGCACAAGTCGCACTAAAGCTGCTAAAAAGTACTAAGTTGCATGAAAGCTGCATAATGGTCCCGGGTACCCCACTTCAGTAGCCCGACAACCTGTGCGCGAAGTCGAGCACTTTATCTTAGTACAGTTGGAACCAGAACCAATAACGTAACGTAAAATATAATATTAAAATATTTAAGTTATTTAAAAAATTAAAAATCAAGTCCTTAAATATATAAAATGAAATTATTTATTATGAAGTCTGTATTATTTTAATTGAAGTTGAGTTGCAAAGAAATTTTACTTTAAGATAAAGTTTAAAAGTAACGTGTTTTTGTAATATTAATACAGTCATACATTTTAAGCTTTTAAAATTGGGCTTAATCATTTTTTTTCTTTCTTTTTTTTTGAAGAAACAAACATAATGATTTTTTTTAAAAATTCAATGTTTTAAATTTTAAAACAATTATTCATAAATATTACCTTTTCTGGAAATTATATATTTGGGATAAATTAAATCTTTAATTAAAAAAAGAGCACTATACGAATCTGAAACTCACAATATATTATGTTCATCCTCCTTAGCATTCTCATAAAACTTTCATACTCCTATATCTATACATCAAAAATCATGATTTGGCTAAAAGTACAAAATATAACAAAAGATGAATGTGGCTAAATGCAAATGTTATTGCGTACTCATTGAGAAACGATGACATAGAGTTATAATCTAAGTCAGGTGTTATAATAATAGAGGAATCAAGCAAAATGAAAGGAAAAAAATAACTTATGTTGCATATTTAATGGTCATGAAATACCTGAAAATGGTAAACCATGTGACTGACAAAAATATTTCAATAAATTGAAAAAAAATTCATAGACTATTGAAATAAATTTAAAAAAATTGCATATTTTATAGAATTTCATGAAAGAACTGAACTGAATGTAAAATCATTGCTTCTAGACCAAAAATAAAAATCTTGTACAGCAAATACGTAAGCGTACACGTGTGTATAGGCGGAGAAAGTAGAGAAACAGGCATTATAAGTGCGCGCAAGCTGAAACTCCTATCGTTCGCTAGCACACCTTGGTGAATTTCTTGGTGTTACTTTGCGGCAATAGGTTAAATTCAAACTGTAACAGTAAAAATGAGTAACCACCAACGTTTAGTTGATTGAATGAAGTGGCGAATTTTGGTGAGGCTAGAAACAGGTCAATCTCAGGTCCAGGTTCGTAAATTTAACGTCCAGCGTCGTGTGTAACTTATGGAAGCAGTTCCAGGATGCGCGACCCGTTGTTTGCATCCCGCTCACTTCTATTAACACGAGAGTGCGTTCGGCATGGTGCAGAGAACAAAGAAATTAGAGTGTAGATCAATGGGCGATCGTTCTCGTCACTGATGAGTCTCAGTTCAGCCTAAACACCGATTCTAGCCATACGTTCATGTGGAAAGAACCAGGGACCGGCTAGCTACTCTCCAATGTCCACAAAATCAACCGTTATTGCGAAGCAGGTTTAATGGTCTGGGCAGTCATCGTGTTGTATGTTCGCACACCTTTCCATGTCTTTGAAAGAGGCTCTGTGTCTGGTTTGAGGAATAGGGATGATGTCTTTGAGCCATATGTTCGCTTTTGTTGGCCTTGAGTTCATTTTAATAAACGATAACGAGAGGTCACATTGAGCTCTTCTGGGCGGCGAATATCTAGAGATTGAGAGTATTTGCCGGATGGATTGGTCAGCCAGATCTCCAGACCTCAACCCTATAGAGCATGTCTGGGACGCTCTGGGGAGGGCAATTGCTACTATCTACCCCCCTGCGAGAGCCATCCAGGGAATGAACGTTGGTGAACGAGTGGAACCAATTGCCACAGGAAATGATAAATTGCCTTATTTCAAATATGAAATCACGGTGCAAGGCCTGTAAATCTGTAAGAGGGGGCTATACCCATATTAAACCATTTTTGTTCGTTTATTCTGCAACCGCTGTTTCATACCTTCTGACTCCAATGAATATTACGCCCGATCATGTGTGTGTATAACAGTTGTTGAATGGTTATTTATTTTGTATTGTATAAATGTATGTACATATCAAATTTCATTAAAATCGTTTCAGTAGTTCTAGAGATAATCGACCAAGTTTGCAAATTCTCTTTATTTCAAGCACCAGTGTATATAAAAAATATTCTATAAAAAATATTTTATTAAAAAATATATAAGTTAAAAAAATAGTGCGTGGAGTCCCTCCGCGCAGAAGAAGTTAAACTTCGTAACCTGCGACGTTAATTGTAGAAGAATCAGCAGTCGTAGAGGATCACTAGTTCTATTCAACGTCTCTTTTTCCTGCTCCGCTCGCTTCCGTGCTCTGTAATAACGGTAATATTGTGCATTTTTCCCTCGTGAACCTCTTTAAAGAGTGGAAGTGCTTGTGGTTGCCTCATCGTCTTGCCATGGAAAATGTATTTGTAATAATAATGTATGTGAATGCGTCATAATGTAATTTCAGAAGAGGAACAATCAATTGATATTCACAAAAGACGTACCTTGACATAACCTTAAATCCGTCTCATTGTCCGTGGGATTGTTTTCACTCATTTTCCACTAAATTTGAAAATAAAAAATTCTATCCTATTAAATTATATGTGCATCAAATCAAACTAAAAAAATAGTGCGTGGAGTCCCTCCGCGCGGAAGAAGTGAAACTTCGTAATGTGGAAATGAAAATAGGAAGGGGTAGAAATTGATTTTTAGTGAAATCATAATGTTTCTTTAAGACAAACTTTATTAACAATTGATCGCATCTCTTAGTTATCATTTTCGAGTGGAGAAATATCCAAATCTATGACATTTACAATGGGATTATGATAACTAAAGTAAGATACGAAATATTTGAATTCTATTTTTTCAATATTTCTTGCAAAAACTGCATCAATGGTAGTTCCCCCTTTGGTTGTTGGATCATTCCTACCATTTATCATTTCCAATCCAAATTCGTTTTTAAGGAAGATTAATAATGTTTCAGCTTCGGTAACGAGAAATTCACATTAAATTCTCCTGCAAGGATCACAGGTTGCTCGTTGCCATGGTAGCGTTAAACGTTTAACGCAACCTTGTTGGAAGTCGCATTCAGAAAAAAAAAACATTATAAAAATGTTCTTTTTACAATATTTTACATTTAACGTTTATTCTCTTCCTAATACAATAATTTTGTTCTATATTTCATACATTTTATTAACATATTTCATACATAATTCAGTTCATATATTTTGAAAATCAATTCGTCTTACCTTTACCTTATTGTAAAGTTAGGAAGATAGGAGATGAATATAACAATTACTTTATCTCTAATTCTAATCCTATTTTAGTGTCTTCGCATATAAATAGGAATATCAATCAGATCACCGAAATCAAGCATCACTGGCTGCTGTCAGTGTGCGGGTGGGTGACCACTTCGATTAGTCTGCGTAGGGACCGAGGGTGTGCGGTATTGGTCCTCGTTAAAATGTTCTACTGTAAAGTGTTCAATTTCGCTCTCAGGTCGTCGGGCTACCGGTGCCATCCCCTCTGCAGAGGATCAAAATTGTGATGGCATGTCTTCGGATCATCCTCAGTGACGCTTCCCAGACCGTCGCCAATAGCCCATTATGCAGCTCTAGTGCGACGTAAATGAACTACAACTACAACATAGAAATAGCAATCATATTTTACAGTCCCTTAGAAAATTGTACTTAGAATTTTGTTCGAACATTTATATTAAATTGAAAGTATTTATTAATTAAAGATATTGTAAGTAACTCACGGATTCAGGCCTAAACTTTTCCATGATTCAACAACTATACTCAGTGAATTTAGTTATTAGAAATATTGTTAGAAATGTATTGATTCATTTTAGTCATTTCAACTTATACTGTAAATAAATAAAGTGTGTCTAAGGTACAATCGTTATATTTACAATTCTCTGAATCAATTTTTTAAAAAAATCTTCCCTTTGTTATGTCATTGACAGGCTTGCTTTCTTTTAAAACTTCACATTACGGGTAAATTAAATTTTTTTGTCTAAAATTGCGTGTTTTTTATTATTGTTTTAAGCACTTTTTTATAGATGATTTTTCCTTTTTCTAAAAGTATGTGACATGAACTAAAAATGTAACATTAGCACAAAAATTATTTCAATTACATATACATAAATCTCCTGATAATACTTGCAAGTAACTGGCGAGAGAAACAATTTCTGAGAAAATTACCGGAATAAAATTTTTAATAGTGTTTGAACTAATTTAACAATTTTTCATTTATTAAATTAACGTGTTCTTTTAAAAAAATTTGTTATACCGAAAAGAAAAAAAAATGAAAAAGGAATTGATAAGACTAAAGTTTCAACTGTGTGGCTACACAGATATTTTCGAAGAACAAAAAGATTTTACGAAATGTTTAAAAATTAATATATTTTTCGGAACAATACACAAAAAAAACTATAAAAAATAATAATAATAACGAAGGTTGAAAAGAAGAATTAACATACCCTACTTCATTTGCCTTCATATCTAAACATAGTTTTCTCATAATTTTTCCCTTTAAGATTTTAGAGCAGGGTAATATGTATGGCATTATAATAATTTTAGTAATATCTACTGAAAAAAGTTTAAATTCAAAGTTTTAAAACTAATGTGTTAAAATTTTTGTTCAATAAATTCATTTCTAACAATGTGTTGTAAATTTCACCGAACGTTATTGAAAAAAAGTAATACTTTCTTTCCCCATTAGTAGTCATGAACCCAAAAAATTGGGTCGGTTGTTCAGTGACGGTTATAAAATGCAATAAAAGGAACAAAAGTCGTGGTGGATCAGAGGACAAAAGGCTCGCCTCCCAATGAGGTGACAGGGTTCAAATTCCAGCTACGGTTGGTCGATACGAATTCCGTACCAACCACCGGGCAAATGTAAAGTATCATCAGTAGTAGACGGGACATGGCCCTTACCGTCAAGTTAATTGTGGAAGGTTTTCGTGGTTTTCCTCTCCATATAATGCAAATGCGGTCTAGTTCCATCAAAAAGTCTTCCACAAAGGCAAAGTTTATCCCCATAATGGATCCAGGAGTTCCCTTGTCTTCTGGATTGGGTTCAAAATTACGAGGTTATGGAGTTGAATACTGGCAGTCGTAAACTCAGAAATTTGGTCGGCTGTTCGGCACCGATTGTAAAATAAAATAGAAAGAATAAGGCTTCATATATTGTCCGAGACTTTCTTTATAGTATTGTAAAGTAGGGACTTTATATCAAAATGGCACAACTCGTGTTATCACAATGATGTCATAAAGTGCTTTCATTATTAAAATAGAGGTAGTTCAAAATTGTGCAGTTGTAATTATATGAAACCATATTTTGTTGTTGTTCTATATTTTGAGCAAAGAAGTTGAAGTTAAAGTAATTGTCAATGGTAATTTCCATTGAGCCTCAAACAATACGGTTATTGAAAAAGAAATTAGTTTCACTGCCATAAAAACTTATTTATATAGTAAATAAACAAAGATTTAGATGTGTTTTTATCAAAATACTAAAATAATAGCCTCGAATAAATTATACTTCACTAATGGTAATGATTTATGATAAATTTTTGTTCTTAAATATCATCTATGCTGGTTTAAATAAGAAAATGTGTGTATTTTTTAATGTTTTATTTGGTATCATATTTTTATAGATAAAATTAATTAATGGTGAATAAAAAATTTTTTGTTTTTCTTGGTTAGTACTACTTATAAATTCCCGTTCTTTACTAAATTTAATGAGTTAATTTGATAAATTCAGTTTGTAACAAACAGTTACTACATTAGAAATTTTTATAATCCAATTCGACTTCATAAAAGAATACATAGCATTAAAGTCGTAATAGCGTTTTAAGTAAAAATATTTTTAAAAAAATGCCTAATATGAAATAAGTAGATTTTGAGCCGAAGCACGATTTTGAAAAATGTCGCCAAGATGAAACGTTATTATTTTAGATAAAGCGAAAAGGTAAAATGCTTTATTTATTTGCTTTACGAAGAAAATGAACTTTACCTAAAAAAATTAAAGAGTATTAAAAATAATGGAGGATGGGAATCGGTGTATTTTATTATATTGAAAAAAAATACTGAAATAAAAAAATTCCTTATCCTCTGTGTACAGTTTGCAAGAATTAGATGAAAATGGGATTTTTTCGGATGAAAAAATTGCAAATGAGAAACCAATTTTCCAAATTATTATTCGTGTGCTGCAACTTTTTTTTTTTTTTTTTTTTTNTTTTTTTTTTAAAGGCGGGCACTTGGGGTTTGTCCCATTGGCCACATTGTTATATCTAGTATTCAATTATTTATTTGTTTTATAGACATTTAAAAGCTTTAAGATTTAAAGCTTAAAAGCTTAAAAAAAGATTTTAAATTTTTTTTATATTGCTGCATTTTTTATTTTAGATTATTTTGACTATCCAGACTGTTGTCATCATAATTATGCTCGTATTAGTTTCTTTAAAATCCATCAAATCAAACCTTGAAATTGAATTGCTACAAAGTTTAGATCGAGCCTTGCAATGTACTCGTCCCTCGCCACCAGAACAGCCTGTAATAGCCATGACTCCTCGCCGTATATCACAACTTGTTGCTTTAATCAAAACAAATATAGAAAGTATGTGTCATTTACTTTTGTTTTTATAGCATGCGAGGGCTATTATCTGCTTATTTATGCTGAAAATTTAGGAAGATTCAGATACCAATGACTAATTATTTTTGTTTTTTTTTAATTCTCCAGACGGGTTTAACCCTTTCAAAGAATAATTCTCAGATTTCCAACTAGATTTTAATTTCGACTAGTTCCTTTCGTAGTAGTAACATTATGTATTTTGTGTTTCATTTTACAATCGGTGCCAAACAGCCGACCAAATTTTTGAGTTTACGACTGCCAGTATTCAACTCCATAGCCTTGTAATTTTGAACCCAATCCAAAGGACAAGGGAACTCCTGGACCAAGTATTGAGAGAAATTAGCCTTAGTGGAGCACTTGTTGATGGAACTAACCCACATTTGCGTTACATAGAGAGGAAAACCACCGAAACCTTCCACGGTTAGCCCAAAGAAAAGAGGATTCAAACCCATGATCCGTCTACCACTAAGGATATTTTAAGCCAGCTCCGTAGTTGGTGCAAACCGGGAGCAGAATTTGTATCAACCAGATAACTCTGGAATTCGAGCCTGGACCACATCGATGGGAGGCGAACAATTTGTAACCTAAGAATCTACAGATGAACATTATGTTTTAGTAACATGGGCTTAGTACTAGCATAAAAACTCTTATGTTTACTGGTGCAAATCAATAATTTAAAAGAAAAATATTCCCGCAACAGCCAATTGTTGGTCGGAGAATTAACAACTGTGGGAACAACAGCAAGATTCTGAGAATGTCGTCAGCAAGCTACACAGATTATACTTTTTTATATGAAGCTAGGTGAACTCCAAGCCGTCACCGTGGAACAAACCCTTGTCCTTCACAATGACAGCTGAATACTTTAACTAATAAACCATCGTGACTCGGCTCCAAATCAATAATTATTGGGGAACTTTACCAAGAAGATAGTAAATTTATCTGAAGACTTCAATGGGGAAACATCAAGCCGAAAGCCGCCCAATTCTTGAACAGTCGGTCATACTTTATTTAGTTCTCCATAAATTTAATCTTCATAAAACTCATTTAATATGTCCCTCATAAAATAAAATAGTTGAATTTTCCATTATTTATTCTAGTTTCCTTCCAGCTCCTAACTGCATTGGACGCTTACCTGATAAACGCTTTAGCCTAGAGGATGAAACAACCTGGAATTTCTGCGTATTTGGTACTTGTGAAGAAAATGTAAGTTGAATATATTAATATATAAAGTGTCTCAAAAATATTGCCACTTTGATCAGCCTGTGTAGGGACCAAGGGTGCGTGGTATCGTTCCTCGTTAAACTGTTCTACCGTAAAGTACTCGACTTTGCACACAGGTTGTCAGACTATCAAAGCAGGGGAGCCATCCCCTCTGCAGAAAATCGGAATTGCGATGGCATGTCTTCAATCATTCTCTGAGATGTTTCCCAGACCGATAGCCCATTAGCCCATGACCCCAATAGTCCATTGTGCAGCTACAGTGCTACGTAAATGAAGTATCTACAGTTCTTGACCTGCTCTACTTCCGGTCAGTAAGTATAAAGCTGCTTACTACAGTTTATTCTGAGAGGCAATATTTTCAAACAGATACTTCTATTTTTCATAAAAATAAATGAATTATATAATTTCTGAGCTCAAATTTGCGGTATGGGGAGATATTAATGATATAAATATTGGTGAGTTTGAAGTGAAAATTTGTTTTAGTTAATTATAGATATATGGTTAAAAAAAGGTGACATGGTTGCTAGATTTAAAAAGAACTCGCTTTTCTGGCAGTCTTGATTTGGTTTCTTTTAACTTGTTCTTGTTGCAAGCGGTGCACCATTATACCTCAGTGTTAGCATATTGTTAGAGCAGCGAGATTAAGTTCATTTTACAAATTATCATTTAGGTTTAAATTTCGAAGTTAGTATGATGATAACAACGGAAGAAGCGTTTTGAATAATAACGATTCCTTTTTTTTAAATGAGATTCTTACGTCTTGAATTGACAAGACTTCAATTGACGATTCTTATAACGATTCTTTTAAACACAAATAAATCAGGTAACAAATACACGTATAAAAGAAATACTACTCAAGGGAGTCTCAGAGCCAAATGGCTTCGAAATACATCGGGAACAATAACCCGCAAAAAATAGACGATAAAGAGCTAGCAGAGCACCCTAGAAGAACTTGTAGAAAATACCATCCCCAGTCTAGTGGAGCCAGCTATGAATCTCATACCAAGACTCATCCGTACTACTGCGACAATCAACGATATCGGTGAGTCCGACATTCCATTGGTGTACAGCAGTGTTTCCAAAAGTGTGGTACGCGTACCACAAGGGGTACGGGAACAGTTTAGCGGGGATACGCGTTCTTATGCGAAATATCTTGCAACAAACGAAAATTTCAAAAAATTTTATTTAAAAACAAAGCTAGTTATGAAACTTTACGATTACGTATTTTTCTTGTGGTTATTTTTTGCATAGTTAACTGTTAATAATTAGTGGTGTCAACAGCCAGTTGTGATTTTCAACTTTTGTATAATTTTTTAGAGTAAAAAATACATTCATTTTTTTATTAATGGTACACAGCGTAACGAAAAATTTAGGAAGGGTACACAAAAGTCATAAGTTTGGGAAGCACTGGTGTATGGTATGCATTCCATTTTATGGAGTCAATTTCAATCATCTGTTGCAATATTATTAACTGTATTCTTTTAGTACGCCCTTTGCATTCATTACATTTATTGAATATCTTCAATTAATCTTTCATCTGTGTCCTTTTAGATCTTTTACCTCTGTTACCACTGTCCCTTGACGTTTTCAGCTGCAGGGAGGGGCCATTCACACTGCATGCAATCCACCTACTTGAAGGGCGAATGTTGAGAAACTACATGTAAGATAAATTTCTTACACGTTCACTAATCGCATGCACATATGACTGCATGTGTGAATCGGAGGTTAAGCAATTCCCTATCCTACATTCCTTGAAATTTTACTGTCGCTATATTTTTGAGACACCCTGTAAAATAGAGTACCTAATGTATTCACAATTGAGTATCTTGTTTTATTCAGATATGTCGATGCCTTCGAACTCATACGGGATATAACTGTGCCTATTATAAGAAGAAAAACTGTTGGATGATGTACTGCTTCCTTGAAGGTTGCCAACCATCTGTACAAAGTCTGTATTGTTCATGCAATCCAATTTTATATGGGACTAAAGTTTTAAGTAAGAACAAACTTTTTTATTAATGAAAATTAAGCATTGGGCACTTTATGTTTTTTTTTAGATTTGCTGAAACTTTCACAAAAATGAATGTTTTTTCAAATATTTTTCTAGGATTATGTAAAATTTCATACAGTTTCATACATCAGTTTTTGAGTAATGAGAGAAAAAATAGCTTTCAGGGAAAATTTTCTGAAACAGTGACAATAACTTTCTTATATAGAGAGCGATAACAACAGTGGTGTTTGTTAGCTTACTTGCTCCATTCAATCAAATATTCTAATTTATTGTGCGCCTTTTACTAATTATATATATATATATATATATATTAGTTATGATCTCCAAAATAAGCTATATAGTTTCATCCTCACTGAAACATTCGTGAATGTTTTTTTTTTTTATTATTTTATAACATCGTTAAACAACTGACCCAAATTGGAGTTTACGACTACCAATGATCAATTCCGTAGTTTTGTAATTTTGAACCCTATCCAGAAAACAAGGGAACTCCTGAATGAGCACCCAAAGAGGCATTGATTTGTTATGGAACTTGTAGGACTTTATGACCCCGACAGATTTACGAGTACCAGTCACCATTTGATACGCAAGAATTCCTCGATCGGGTGGATTCAATCTCTCGTTCTCGCAAACATGAGTCCTAACGAATAAGTATACCTAATTCAGAAGACAAAGGAACTCATGGATCAAGTATTGGGAAAAATTTGCCTTTTTGGAGGACTTTTTGATGAAGCTAATCGACAATTGTATAACGTGGAAAGGAAAACCTCGGTACATATGGTGAAATTTAAGACAAGGTGGTAGTCAAGTGAAATCTCATAGTATTATGAATATTTAATTTTATATACATTATTAATATTTTTCCATGTATTTTAACAGCTTTATATTAAGATACATACATACGTTCAATAATTTTAACTTTTTGTATTTTTTTTCCATTGTTTTGAAATGTTGCCCTCAAGAATAAAATATTTTTGGTGTAATTAGTGATAGATTCTTTTCAATAACTATTTATTTTGCATCGATTGCATGATTAAAATAGCTGTGAAACTGAGATTTCATGCAGTAATGCATTGCTAAGCTTTGATATTGCATGTAGTATTGCATCTCTCTGTAAAAAAACTTCGCCTTTGTAATTTTAATTAATTTTATTGTCAAAATAATTATAATTAATAATTTTTTATAATTAATTAATTTTTAATTAACTATAAAAATTAATTAATTATAAAAATTAATTAATTTTTTTTTATTTTAATTTTCAATTTTATTATTTTTTTCATTAATTTTTTTTCCAAAATAATCATTAAATCTATTCATCATTGTATTTAAATGGACCATAATATAACAATATGTATGTTTGTATCTAAAGTGCAATTTAACATTTGTAATATCTTTATATTATTACATTCTTTTATTTAGTTAAAACCTGAGGTCCACGTATGCGGACCTAGGATTATTAGTCCCCTGTCAGCATAATTCATATTTTTTGTTTGTCCTATTATGACTTGAGGCAGTAAAATAGAAATTCGGAACAGTAAAATATTTTTTTCCTGTTTTCCTTTTTGATTCAGTCGTGAAAAGGTTAATCTGAAAATTGACTGTAACCGAAAAGATCCTATTGTATCCTATACACATGTCTTTCAGCTTTATGTATGATTGCGGAGAGTTAATCAATATCAATTCGTTGTTTATTTATGATTTTCATTCCTCGTACGAATCAGTGATATTATTATCACAATCTTAAAAAAAATACAAATTTATTAATCAAAAGAACTACCAATAATCGAAAGTATCTTATGACATTTGTCCACACTCAATAGTTATGTTACTGTGAATGACCGAAATTGGTGATTATTGACATCCACCGGTGAATGTTGACAATCACATAGTCCGACATCTATACTAGGTCTAGTTCAGTGCCATTGCCCGATATATATTAGCCTAGTATACCCTACACTGTTGTTTCTCCTAATCTATCCTCAGCATATATAAAAATATCGAATAAATATAACAATATCAACGAATAAATTAATATCAAATCGGATGCAACAAATCTTTCGGATATTCACCAAATCGACTATGTGATTGACATTCACCGGTGAAAGTCGACATTCTCTTGATTTGGGCTATTAACGGTAACAGTTATACAAAATAGTTGCTTTCTGAAAAATTTCTTTATTAGTTTGTTGAAAAATAGAAAATTAAGTAACTATCGCATACAGTTGTTTTGGTATAGCTGTGAACAAATATTATCATTCCTCAAAAGGTTCTAGCTGAAGCGTATTAAAAATTGTTGAACAGGAATAGTTTGAAAAATAAAAATTTTGGAAACTTATTATTATGCCATATTTCAAATAAAAATGTAGAAGTTTTCAAATGTTTTACATTCAAGCAATTTACACGCTTTAATAGAACAAAAATATAATTAAAAAACAAATGATTTGATTCAATTATGAATTATTACTCACCCAATATGTTTGAGTATAAAATCTTTTTAATCTAGATGCATAAATACTGTGATCTGAAATAAAACTTTTTTAACACTGAAATAACGATGAAATATTATTATGATGCATCATTCATTCAGTAAAAACGTGCTTTTACAGCAACAAAAAAAAGAAAGGAAAAAAAGCTTCATTATTCTCAGTGTTCTGATAACAGAAGAAAAAAGGCGTAAGAAATATACACAGTGATTAAAGTTTGATTTTGCCTTTTTATAGATTGTATTTATCATTTTTATCAGTACAGCTTACAAAACTGGGAAGTAACACGTACTGAAAGCTCCTTTTTATCTAAAAAATTTTAACTTAATTACCCTTTTAAAATTTATTTTGTTTCAAAATCTGGATATTAAGAAATCGTAAGGGCCGATAATGCTGTTTTGAGTGTTCAATTTAACGTTGAATTTTTTCTTCGACAAAAGACTTAAACTTGAAATTACAAAAAACTGTTGAAATACGATGAAATAAAAAAAATTAATCCTTAAAATTTAGTTCAAGAATTATTGACTGTTAAACTTGACGTAAAAAATGCCATGCGGACCGCTGTACGGATAGCAAAAATGCTACTACATTTTCGAAATTCGACGTAAGGCGGAATGAAAAAAGGTCACCAGTTTTTTTTTTTTTTTTTTTTTTTTTTTTTTTTTAATTTAA